TTTGAATTGAACTCAACTCTAATTAAGTGAAAACCCTGAACTTTTATCATTTGGTGCATTGTTTGAACAAGCTTGTGGATACCAATATACATATTTGAGCTAGAATCCTGTTTTTACCATCCTCTTCCTTAGCTCAAATAGCTGAATCTGCATAATAGATCAGTTTTCCTCACCCTGAACCCATCATTCTTTCAAGCCAATTGTTTGTGTGTGATTGAGAGGCCACCTTGGACCAAACTTAGCAGAAAGTGTTAGGTTTAGGGCGACAAGGGCAAGTCTCATTGAGTGCTAAGTTCCATCATCAAGGAGCTGAGAGATTTGGCAAGAACTAAGTGTGGGGGAATACCATGGTGAGTGGAAAAAGGAGAGATGAGTGGAAAAAGGAGGCATGAGTGGAAATAAAAGGAGAATGGTGAGGACTAGGGGATAGAAAAGGAAAAGAAATCAGCCTTGGAGTTTTGAGTCAAATAAAGTGAGCTCTAGTGTTTTGAAAAGAAAGAGTCTAGCCTCTAAGTGAAAAGAAAAGAAGCCAAAGAGCTCAAATGTTTTAAAAAGAAAGAAAAAAAAAAGAGGTTAGAGGTTACAAAAGAAAGTGAAAAAGAGCTATGGAAAGTTTGAACTCCAAGACTTGTGTATGAAAAAGAAAAGAGAATCCCCTAGTGAGAGAAGAATGAGTGTGAAAAGTAAGCAAGTGAGGAAACTTTGAGTAGAGTGTGGGGTGGGATGAGTCTTTGCCCTTGTATGCATAAGTTGCCTTTTACCTTTAGCATTCTGCCAAAGTTTGGTCATTCATGGAGAGATCCTTTTGCTGCATTGAACCCACTCAGGCATTGATGAGATCATTTTAGTCTCATAACCTTACCCTAGCCAAACTATGTTTGTTTAAACAATGCATCATTTGATCCACTTGGTAAAAAGCTTAATGAATGTGAAAGAGTTGAGAGAGAGAAGAACTAGTGGAGATTCCTTGTTGAGTTGATATATATCTGAGTGCTTCAGACTGGGAAGCAACCATTGTGAGATGAACATTAGATGTGCTTGGAGTGCCGATAGGTTTAACTATTGACATTCCAAACCTTATTAAAACCTTTTTAATGTAGGTTTTCTGTGACAAGAAGAGCTTCTTCTGTTTTCTATCTCTGAAAATCTCCATTCCTATAATCTTCTTTGTCGCACCTAAATCTTTCATCTCAAACTCAAAGCTAAGCGAATCTTTCAGCTTTTGAACATCACACATCTCCTCTGCAGCTATCAGCATGACATCCATATACAGAACCAGATAAATATATGATTCATTTTTCAACATTTTGTAGTAAACACAACACTCATAAGGACTTCTAATGTACTCCAACTTCGTCATGTAGCTGTCAAGTCTGTTATACCAATGCCTTGGAGATTGCTTAAGTCCATATAACGACTTGTTCCGTTTGCACACATAGTCTTCCTTTTCTGGAGCTTCGAAACCCTCTGCTGGTTGGGTCATGTATATCTCTTTTTCTAACTCTCCATGAAGGAAAGCTGTCTTCACATGGAGTTGTTCAAGCTCAAAATCTTCACGTGCCATTATTGCTAACAGCGCTCTGATAGATGTGTGTCTGACCACTGGTTAAATAAATCTCGTTGTAGTCTACTCTTTCTGTTTGAGTGAAACCTCTAGCAACCTGAGCTTTACTTGGCTCCTTCTGCAGGTGATATCTCGTCTTTTCTTTTGAAGACCTACCTGAAAGTAACAATCTTTCTCTTTGGTGGAGATGTGACCAGATCCCATGTATGATTTTTATCATGAGACTCCATCTCGTATCCCATTGTTGCAAACCATTTCTCAGCTTCAACACTTGATACAGCTTCATTGTAAGTTAATGGCTCATTCATATCAACCAATTCTGCAACCTGCATTGCATATCCGACCATATCCTCAAAGCCATATCTCACAGGTGGTCCAATGCCAATCTTCTTGGGTTGATCTTTTGCAATACTATATTTTGTAACTCCAGATGGTTGAGTTTCTGATTCTGTAGGTCTCAAGAAACATTTTCTATTTGTTCCTCTTGATCCTCTTTGTGTTGCTGCAAATCACCTTTGTCATGATCGTCATGCAACTCCACCTGCTTGTTGAAGCTCCCATTATCTGCGACAGATGTAAACTCTGCTGAGCACCTGAGCATAGAACTTTCATCAAAGACTATGTTCCTGCCTGTAATAACTCTCTTCTATGATGGAGACCATAACCTGTATCCCTTAACTCCATCTCCATAGCCTACCAAAACTCCCTTCCTTCCTCTTGTTTCTAGTTTACCTTCACTCACATGATAGTAAACTGAGCAACCAAAAACTTTTAGATTCAAGTAATCAGCACATGTACCTGACCACATCTCAGTACGTGTCTTGCACTTGATACTTGAATGTGGTGCACGATTTATCAAGTAGCAAGCTGTATTTATAGCTTCAGCCCAGAACCTTTTTTAAAAACAAGCATTAGAGAGCATGCACCTCGCTCTCGCCAGTAACGTCTGGTTCATCCGTTCAGCTACACCATTTTGTTGGGGTGTATCTCTGACTGTGTGATGACGTGTAATACCTTCATCTCTACACAACTAGTTGAACTCAAATGAACAGAACTCTAAACCATTATCAGTTCGCAATCTCTTGATCCTTTTCCCTGTTTGATTTTCAACTAGAGCCTTCCACTCTTTGAAATTCTTAAAAGCTTCACTTTTATGCTTCAGTATGAACACCCAAGTTTTCCTTGAGTAGTTGTCAATCATAGACACAAAGTACCTGCGAGCTCCCAAAGATTTCACCCGAGAAGGACCCCAACAATCTGAGTGAATGTAGTCCAACGTACCTTTTGTTCTATAAATAGCCTTAGAAAACTTCTTGTGATGAAGCTTTCCAAAGACGGTGTGTTCACAAAAATCTTGACCCTTATCCTCATGGCCACAAAGAAGATCTTCCTTAGACAGAATTTGCATACCTCTTTCACTCATATGACCAAGCCTCATATGCCATAGCTTTGTCATATCTTCTTTACGAACCTCAGAAGCTGCAACATTGGCTGAACCTATGATTGTGGAACCTTGCAAAAAATACAAAGTACCATGTATGGTACCTTTTAGAATCACGTCAAAACCCATATACACTTTCAAAATTCCATCACCACCTGAATACTTGAACCCTCTAATGTCCAAAAACCATAGAGATATCAAATTTTTTGTCATAGATGGAACATGTCTAACATCATTTCTGATCTTGATTGAACCAATTCCAACAACCTTGCAAGCAGAACTGTTAGCCATCTTTATGCTATCATCATCTACATGTTCATATATGTAAAACCACTCTCTCCTAGGGAACATATGGTAATCTCCAGTGTCTAGAATCCACACATCTGGGAATGTGTCTGTTCATCTGCAGCCAGTGCGAAGTCTACTTCGGACTCACTGTCATCCTCTGCCACGGCAACAGCAACAGACTGCTTCTTCTTCTTAGGACAATATGTTTTCCAGTGCTCTTTTTCTTTACAGTAATTTCAGGTATCATCTGGTTTTGGACCTTTCGAAAAAAATTGTTTTGCATTCTTTTGCTTGTTACTTCCACCACTGAAAAACAGTCCAGAAACTTGATTATTTGCATCTGTACCAGACGCCTGATGTCGCAGTTCTCTACTATAAAATGATGATTGAACCTCTTCCAAAGATACCGTATCTTTACCGACTATAAACGACTGCACAAAGTTTTTGTATGATAGTGGTAGAGATACTAACAGAAGTAGAGCAACATCATCATCCTCCACCTTAACATTCATATACGTAGCTCTAGTAATAATGTGTTTAGCTGATCTAAGTAATCCCTGAGTTGTGTACCCTCCTGCATTCTTAACCCAAAAAGACATTGTTTCAGAAGCAACTTGTTTGTTACAGACTTTTTCATATACAATGTCTCCAACTTCCCCCATAAGCAAGCAGCAGTCAATTCATTTGAAACCTCGACGATGATGTCATCAGCAAGACAAAGCAAAATTGATGCATGTGCCTGATAACACTGGATTTTAAAAACTTTTATGGATCGTTTTAATATCTTATGCAGGATTTTTACCTATCTTTTCAATGTTTTTTAAGTGATTTCTATGTTTTAGAGTTTTAAAATACTTTTCAGGAAAGAGTAAAAGAGTGCATTTTGGAGCAAAAAAACAATTTTGGATAAATGCAGACCGTCAAAAGTATGGCAAGCGTAAAGACCTTCTCAACATCTGATCACCCCCAACATTTTAGAGAACATAAAGGACACAACCAGATTTCTAATGCAATTGGTTTGGAGACAGTCCAACAGTTAGATCTTTAGATATTCTCGATGCACGAAAGACAGAAAATGCAATCTTGAAGGTGAGCATAGGCCGCAACCACGGCCAGACCATGATTCCCCGCTGTCAGGACCACATAACCCGCATCCATGCATCATTCACGTCCCAAGATGACCTAATCTAAGCCCAAGTTAAGCCCACCACTTATTCTTCAAACCCTAAATGTTTCAGACGAATTAGAAGGCCATATATACTCGTGTTAGGTCATTCTAATGACCAAGCCTTTGAGAGAGCAGAAAGAAGAGCCGCACACCTTTGGAGTTGCCGTCTTTGAGAGAAGAGGGAGTAGCCAAAATGAGCCGTCATCGATCTCCACCTTTATCCGCATTCTTCGTTCTTTACCTTTCTATTATTTAATTTCTAGCAAACTACAATACTTTTGTTATGTTCTTATACGCTATGATTGAGTAATTCATTTGATGGGTTTTAAGGGATTTTTCAAAGAGAATTCACGGATTGATTTCTAATTTGTTAGATTAGGGTTTATCCTTAGAGTTCTTCGTCTGAATTTGTGTTTCATGTATGTGGCTTGGATCGACCATCCAGCTACCGCGATTAGGTTGATTTACTCACTGAAAGTGTTGTCGAATCGACTAACCTTATTTAGATGAACAAATTCTCTTAGACGGCGTGAGTCCTAGATCTCTTTAGAGACCAAATTTATAGGTTCCAACAAAAAGAAAGTGAACTTTTTCATGAAGCTTGGAATCACTATAAAGGGTACATAAGAGAATGTCTTCACCACGGTTTTACAAATACATGCATCTTGAACACCTTCTATGAAGGTCTTGAATGGAACTCCAAGTCACCTGTAAATGTGGCAAGCGATGGGAACTTCATGACAAGGACTGTGGAAGAAGCTTACGTCTTGATTAATAACCTTGCCGCAGGCAGCAAAAACAATTATCCTGATCAAGAAAGAACATCACGTTCGACTTCTAAAGATCATAAGTCTGATCATCCCTGAAATTTGAGACAACATATAGGTGACAACCAGCTTTTTAATGCAATTGGTTTTGAGACAATCTAACAATTAGATCTTCAGATATTCTTGATTCACTAAAGACAGAAAATGTAGTCTCGAATAATATCATAAACCCTGACCGCGTCCAGACCATGATTCTCCACGGCCAGGACCACCGCCACCGCGGCCAGACGTCATTCATGTCCAATATGACCTAATTCAAGCCCAAGTTAAGCCTACCACTTATTCTTCAAACCTTCGACGTTTCCGACGAATTAAAAGGCCATATACTCGTTTTAGGTCATTCTAATGACCAAGCCATGGAGAGAGCAAAGAGAAGAGCCGCACACCTTCGAAGTTGTCGTCTTTGGGAGAAGAGGGAGTAGCCGAAAGGAGCCGTCATCGATCTCAACTTTCATCCGCGTTCTTTGTTCTTTACCTTTCTCTTATTTAATTTCCAGCAAACTACAATTCTTTGTGATGTTCTTATACGCTATGATTGAGTAATTCATTTGTTGGGTTTAAAGGGATTTTTCAAAAAGAAATCACGGATTGATTTCTAATTTGTTAGATTAGGGTTTATCTTTAGAGTTCTTTGTCCAAATTTGTGTTTCTTGTATGTGGCTTGGATCGATCATCCAGCTACTGCGATTAGGTTGATTTACTCACAGAAAGTGTCGTCGAATCGACTAACCTTATTTAGATGAACAAATTCTTTTAAACGGCATGAGTCGATCTAAAGCGCTTTGTGAAGTTATCAAACTAAATTCTCTAGACACTTAGTAAATCTGAGTGGATGAATTTGTGATTAATACTACGTGAGTAGGTTAGTCTTGGTTTGATTTCAAGAACATATCTATAGAAAAACTCTATGTTTCATTATCTTGTTAGCTAGTCTAGGGTTTTCGGCGAATTCCCTAACGCCCAACACCTTCTCGTATTGATTTGATCTCATTATTTACTTGTTTTTAAGTTTATTAATTGTTATTTTCGTCACTATTCACAACTCCCAAACAAACATCCATATTTTCATCTTAGCTCAATTCTCATTGCAAGTAAATTCGTACTGCAGTTATTTGGTTTTCAGTGGATCGACCCATAAGTACTACAACGTACATCTGTGCGCTTGCAGAAAACTATAGTTAAAACCTGAGCACATCAGTGCCTTCTCTTCCAGACTCGCCATCTCAACAATGTCACCCTTGTTATTTTTAACTAATGGCGTCCACAAGCCTTGTCGCTTTAGAAACGCTTGTACCTTGATTTGCTAGACACTGAAACTGTTTCTCCCTGTGAATTAGTCGATCTTCACGTTTATTTCAAACATCTTCTCATCAGACGCGTAAACTCCCAGAATCAGGAGCTCTGATACCAGTTTGTTGTAACTGATGCGAAAAAATTAAGCTACGAACGTAAAGCAAAGACACATAATTAATGTGGTTCACCAACATAATATTCACCAACTTAATGGAATTCTCTCCTCTTTTTTTTATTGGTGTGTAATATTCATCAAATGTGTCAATTTCTCTTTGGTGTGTCATATCCTGAGAGAATCAATTGGTATATCAAAGTAATTCTACAGCCATTGTGTGACCTTTCACTTCTACAATCCTTGAAATAACTTGTTACTTGCAAGTTTTTTCCAAGTCTTATCCAGTCTCTAGAGTGGTGATTCATGAAAATTATTATCAGTAAGCATTAATGAACTCTTAATCAACCATTACGCAAAATAGTTTCCACCATTTACATACTTTTAATATCCAATTATGGAATTGCAAACTCTACATTAACCCAACTATCAAACCACAACTATCAATGGAAAACCAACTATCTAATCACAAAAGAAACCCACAAAACCCCAACTATGAACTAATTTTTTATTTATGTGCTTATATGTGTATTTTTTTAAAAATACAAACTGCTCTCTTCTTTCTCATTACAAACTGCTCTCTTCTTTCTCATTACCATTTGTTTTAAACTTATTAGCACTGTCATATCCTGAGAGAATCTGCTTGAATGCATGAGTTATAAATATTATGTTTTTTTCACTATTCTAATATGATTTTTTGTAGTGATGCCTCTATAATTATCAATGACAGAGAGAGAAAGAGAATAAAAATTGTAAAAATATTTAGAATGATGAAAGGCGTCATCCAAAAAATCATTCATACATAACAATTTAGTTGTTTAGAAATCTGGATATGAGTTTTATCATCATTAATTGTTATGATATTCAACATAGGTCTCAACCTACCAAAGTTCACAGCAATGATGAAACACTCAAAGTGACTCCTTTATGTCCCTTGTGATTCAAGCTTGCTAATAATCCCTTGTGATTCAAGCTTGCTAATAATCCCTTGAACAATCTTCAGAGACGTAATTCCAACATTAAGTTACTATGCATCCAAAAGCTTATGATTTCTCCACAAAACACTATTGAAATTTTATGTATAAATTTATAGTATTCAGAATGTTGAAGCTATTTACCTTCTGATAATCTTGCCGAATTGAAAATTGATAAGATCAACCAAAAATCACTAATGGTATATAATTACTGAAGATAAAAACTCCAACAAAACTTTTGAAAAAGTAAAAAATAGAGATTAGAGGTTTCCAAGATATAATTTTTGGGAAGGCTGTATTTAAACAGTAATGTAAGATATTAAGTCTTCCAATAAAACCTTTGGTCCTCTTTCCCCGATTTTCTTCTGAGTTGTGTTCTTTGTTATTCTTTTGTTAAACAGGCATGATGAATGGGAGATACTTTCAGAGCAAAACATATGTTCTCGGATCAGTCTCCACAGTCATCTCCTTCTCCCACTCCCACTCGCCCTCCCCCTCCTTCCCTCCATCTTCTTATCTTCGTATTACGTCAGTATCAAAGCTTCATGGTGTGTTTATTGTAACATCTCTTCACTATGAATTAATGATTCTAAACTTCTAATCATCCAGGATTAAGTAATGAACTCTTACGAAATTATAAAATAATAGTTTTTTTATTTTCTCTGTTTTCAATATTTATTTGAAAATTATATACATTAAAATCTTGTACTAAGAAGAGATTTGTCTTAAGAAGAGAGCAAAAAATTTTAAGATTTTATAACAATACCTAAGTTCGAGAAATGAACAGCGAAATTTTTTTAAAAAAGTTAAATAAGGTAAACTAAATTAGATGTATATTTTTTTTTATTTAATGATGACTTGTAAAATAAAAAAAAATTAACCAATAAAAAGGATTGATGTGTCACCACTAGAGAACCTCCCTTGTTTCTTTTATATATTAGATGCTTTGAGTCTCTCACCTCTTTTATCTTTCTCATCTATCAACACAAATATTACTTTTTTTTTATTATTCAAATCAAAATAAAACACATATATACTTGAAAACTAGAGAGCTCTCTCTCTCTTCTCTCTTAAAAATCTTTCAGAGAGAGAGAGCCCAAGTTTTCTTCCGATCTTAATCGGATTAAATAATTCCGACTAAAGTAGATGTTTTTTGTTTGTTTATATTTTCTATTAGTCGGATCTGTTATCTTCCGTTTAACGGATTTCTTTTTCTTTGTTTCTTCTACTTTTGCTTGTTCTGAATGGAAAAATTCCAAACTGTTATGTGCGTTTTCTCCTTTCATCAGTATCTGATTAATCTTCTCATGCAAAAGAATAAATTTCTTTGCTAATCCTTAGTGGAGCAAAGGTTCTCTAAAAGTAGAAGAATTGAACTCTGGATATTCAAAGGTTGAAACGCTCAATTCATCTGGCGATAGAGCAAAAGGAAGCTTTTACTTTCCTAAATCTGGTGGTGCTTCAATTATAATTCGTCTTCTTCATCTTTTGATTTATCTACTCATTTTGACCGAGAGTATTACCTCTCTAAAGTCCCCTATAAAGACGCTTTTTCAAAGCAGAAGGAGACAGGTCATGAGACTTGATGAATGGTAGTGGCTTTGTGGAGAAGAAGAATTTCTGATTATGGATCAGTAAGGAGGGTATGAAGCGAAGGTACACATCTTGGTGTTAACAGCTTAGTGGCCATGGTGGACGGATGAGTTTCGCCGGCAACTACAACGGTCACCAGCGATAGGTTTCAGTGATGACATCATTTTCTCTTTCTACTGACGCCACGTGGACAAAGCTACTCTCAAAAGCTCACACGTGTTTAGTGAAGCTTTTAACGTGTCATATTTGTAGCAAAGTTTAGTTTGCTGGGCTTTTGATGGACTTGTAATCATGTGTACCTTTATTTTAAGCCATGTTGGGCTAAGTTAATGAAAACTTTGACGACAAAAAAAAATACTTGAGAACTATATATATATATATATATGGCAAAAAAAATTTGGTTTTTTTGACAATTTTAACTTTTTTTTCTGTAGGCAAGTAACAAAAGTCTGTCGTCACTTGGCGAAGTCATACTTGCCTTAGAAAAATGAAAATCATATACCATTCCAAAAATCATATACTTTACAAAACAGAGATTCTGAAAAGATTTTGTTTCTTAAGTTGCGTCTCATGATGAGATTATGTTTTATTTGTAATTTCTGCCATGCTTAGGCGATGACTCAAAGACTTTAAAGTTTATTATATAGCTGAAAATAGATCTATGAGTCTTGCTGAAAAATAATCAAGTAGTAAAAAAGAAGCAACAGTAAAACCAGCATGCCAGTAAATAGCCCATATCGGGGTACGATTCGAGTTATGATGGAAAATTTTGTCTTCACGTAACGCATCACATTACCTTATAACTCAGAATAATGTCCCATGACATGCACACATCCAACTTAATTATACACTAGATGATTACTAGCATCCTATATGGAATAAATATTAATCATAATTTTTTTTTTGAATATACAAATATATTATATACAAATACAATTAAAAAATATTAACTAATATTTATAATTGAAAATTTATGTACTGATTATATAATTACAAATTATAATTATAATTATATTTATTTTGTAGTATAATTGCGTAAATATTAGATAATTGTTGGTTTTATAATTAATTTTAATAGTATCTTTTATATGAATAAAATTACACATTTGAATATACTAAATTGGATTAATACGTTTTATCTAACCGGTACAACATCAGACAAAGACATTTTAATTTTAATAAAAAAATTTAATTATAATATATATGAAAACATTAGATTTTTTTATTAAATTGATAATGTAATTTCTTTTTAACAAAATTAAGATAAAAAAAATATGATATAGAGAAATATAGTGTTTAGTAATCTAAAAAATATTATGTATTAAATTTTTATAAATTTGTTGTTAAAAAATAGAAAGAGAAAGAATATCTTTACAAATTAAATGTTAAATATTAAATAGATAATTGATATAAACTAATTTCTAACCATATATATTAAATATTAAATAGATAATTGATATAAACTAATTTCTAGCTATATATATTAATGCTAATGACAAATAATGTAATTATTCTAGTAAAGTAAATATTTTTTATATGTGTTTTGAAAAGCTTTCTTATAATGATACATCATTCATGATACTCTTGTAAATCACATATGACATAAAGATTATTTTTAAATTATCCTTCTCAAATAATAATAGAAATAATAATAGAAGATATAGATTTATATAGCCATACGAAAGGACGCATCCTCATTTTTTATCTTATTATGATATCTGTATTCAACTTACAAGGTGGCTTGAGGGAAATCAGAACTAGAATTTGAAGATGAAATCGACGATGAGCCGTAGGATCTCTTGGGGCTTCTCTTGGTTAATGAAGTGAGCCACTCCCTCCATGACCACAGGCTCTTCGAGCAAAGGTACGTCTTCCTTAAAGTTGGGACCGTGTATATATTCCTTCACACCAGGCATATAGTATACAAGATCCTGGTCCCCAATCACGAACTTTGTAGGCACTTGTATCTTGCAGCCAACCCATGGACCCAACATCTCATTGTTCCTGTCATCAGAGGAAAATACGTCTATAGAAGGGTTTGCATTTATGAAAGACACAAATTACATTTTCTAAGAACAAAACTTTTTCAGACCAGGATATGTAGTAAGTGATTTGTATAATTTTAGTCTCCCTGATTCAAACCCGCATAATGCACGTTTTTAGAGAAAAAATTATGCCAAATTTTCATGTTCATCATTCATCAAACTTGCTCACATACTAGTAGCGGTGGAGATAAATACTTGGTTCTTGTCCCGTATCGTTACTTACCCGCCATGAAAAATAAGTACTCAATGTTGTGAAGGCAAATAATAAGTAACACGATTTAGATATTACTAATACAAGTCAACTAACAAGAGTACCCGGCTTCTTTTACGTCCTGTTACTCATTTTAGTTAGTTTTAGTATTTTATATACATATTTTACTTATTGTATTGGAAAATGTTAAGTAGTTCTGAAATCCGTATACACTAAACTGCTACTTATATAGGTTTACTGAAAGACTTTACTAAATTTAATTATAAATGAACTTTATAAGGGTAAAGAACGGGAACTAAGTTAGAAAGTGACATGCCAGTATAACTTACTAGCAACTTGTGACAAGAAAGCAATAAGACGGGGCAAGTAATCCGCATATATATAGACCATTTATGAGCAAGTAGTTTATATTGTGGGTACTATTACTTGCAGTTGGCCTCCACCCTTATCGTACTAGGTTGCGTTCTTAACATTCAACTATCTAAGAAGTAGAGTAAAACAGAGAATTTACCGGTCAAAATTACGGTAGAAATTGACCCCACCAGTAAAGCCTTTCTCCTCAAACTTTCTAACATAGTAAGCAACATCTTCCTCCCTTAGCCAAGACGGCAATGGGATCGTTTCGTCTTTCGACCCCCAAAAACTTTTATCTTTAGGCAGTATAAGAGGTCGAGGCATTCTATATGTGAGTATCCTCCTAACTACTCTCTCTATCCCAACCTCTGAAATCTCCGCTTCTATTTCTCCAACTTCCTACATTACCACAATAAAACCTTTAAATGATATTCCTTCAGGTAATAAGCTAGCTAGCTATCTAAACAACCATACACACAAACGCAAAAGATATATGATTTGCTATCTATTTAAATAATAGACACTCGAAAGAGGTTGAATTAAAAAGTTTACATAATGGTAAATACACTAAAATAACAAAAAGAATTAATTTTGGGTTTTAAACATAACATACCAAATTTAATATTCTACACTATAAGGTCTGAGGTTCGATTTTTAAAAATGCGATTTCTGCAGACTATTATGGAGACCTTATGAGAAAATTTTCGGCTTAGTGTAAACTTTTCGTTGTGGTTCTGAACTGCGTAGTTTTTTTCTTTGAAATGGGTAAACTGACGGTCAGTTGTAAAATTGTTCTTGTAATTGTTCTTATAATGATGATTTAAAAAAAAAACAGGACAAATATTTTTATGTAGAAATAATTTATTATTAAAAACAAAATTAAATCTTATGTTTGGTTTCCTATTTTTTATTTTGGTTTTATGTCTTCCCAACTAGGAAAAGGTTTTGAGTTATATTAATACTAAATTTGTGCTATTAATAGCTATTTCAACTAGTAATTTTAATTTTTTAACATCCATACAAATTATAAGAACTACTACAAGAACCATGTTATCCATTTCACTACTTTGTTGAACGAATTTTATTATAAATTTGTCTCTATTAATTTGGAGAAATTGCCTTCTCTAGAAAATAAAATCTGAACCTCATAACGCAGAAGCATTAGTAAAAGAAATTGTTCAACTACCTGACTTCGAACAATTTTAAGTTGCAAAAGAAAATTAAAAATACGCTATTTTGGACAATTTTTATAACTAATAATTCAATACTGAATGTGCGGTTAAGGAGTTCTATAATTGTGTTTGTGTGAAACTTTCGTACACCTTCAAATGGAAATTAAAATATATATTTTAACTAATAATTCAAGATTGAACATCCAATTATTTCTAGCTTGAGTAAAGGGGAATGATTAACGAACCTGAAACCTGCACATGTAGAAATCTTCGCCGTAGAACTTACGCAAACCGTCGAGAGGTTTAACGGTAGGATTTGTAGGACGGAAAGAGAATGGTACTGAAAGGTTGACCAAAGCTTTGACTTTATCAGGTCGGAAAAGACAAAGATACCAAGCGATGAGAGCCCCCCAATCATGGCCAACCACAAACACTTTCTCCTCGGTTAACGCCGTTATGACGGCGATCAGGTCACCTACTATGTGGAAGCAAGTGTAAGAAGAGATCTCAGGAGGCGCGTCGGAGTCACCGTAACCACGTAGGTCAGGAGCGACAGCGCGGTAGCCAAGAGCGGCGAGTCCGGGGATCTGGTGGCGCCATGAGTACCAAAGCGTAGGGAATCCATGGAGGAGCAGGACTATTGGACCATCGGAGGGACCTTGGATAGCCACGTGGATGTCTATGCCGTTCCCTCTAACCTTTCGGTGCTCCATCTCTTTTGTTTGTTTTTTGCTTTGTGTGGTTTCCAGTTTTCACTTATTAAACGGATATTTCAGTGAATCGTTTGACGTAAATACACGTGTTGCCATATTACAAAGTTTATTATCCTACTTTTGATCACTTTTCTAGAAGGTTTTCGATACCTATCTCTTTCTTTGCTTTTTTGTTTTTTTATCTTTTTTTGGTTTTTACAATAAAACAACAAAATTAACCAAACAAATCGTTTTAAGAAAAAATATATAACATTCTGATTTCTAGTGTATGCGGAGAACCTTATGAAAATTTATTTAGCTATATATATATCCTTAAAATGCAATAATATTTTTGGACATTCGTTCTGAGAAAATTCAAGAGTTAAAGATGTTTAAAACTAGAGAAAATTTAGAATGGATAACTTACCAGGAAGTAATCTGCAATATTGTGTAAATAAGAACAAAACATGGAAAAAAAATCATATGGTAATTGCAGGGACAATAGATAAGTTTTACAAGCTTCCCAGACTAACGCGCTAAATGTCAGATAGTGGTGAGTCAATAGACCTAGAAAAGAAGACGTTGGGCCCACGAGTCTAGAAAGAGGACATTGGAATCGGTAAAGAAGGCGGTTGGAACGTTCAGAGTAGATAACATTATAAAAAATTGATTATTATTACAACTTTTTATGTAACAATATATATATATATATATATTTTGTCACAAATTTTCTATTGTGACGAAAATGTAACAATTTATAAAACATCATAATAAAATCGTCACAAACTCATTATCGTCACAAAAATGTCACAAATTGTTATGATGAATAAGAACAGTAACAATTCGTAACATTTTGTGACGACTTTTAAACAGTTACAAAAACGACACAATTTGTGTCGAAAAATACTGTTACAATAACGCAACTAATTGTGACAAAAATTGTCACATATTTTTCACAAATTATTACCATATTTATGTGAGTGATCCGTTATAAATTGGTTCGTATTATGAATTTTTTTATTGAATTCGTTACAAATTGTTACAAAATTAAAATTGCGAATTTATTTTAAAATAGGATTATTTTCATAGATCATCAAAAGATACATGATTGTAATTTTACATAAATAATTCAACTACAAGAAAGTTCATACAAAAATCAAAATCAAAAGGAGATCATCAAAAGCTACTTGCCTACTTTCCATCTATACAAACTGACCATAGAGCCTTACGCTATGCCAAACACTAGAAAATCCGGTCTCACAATCTGATTTGCTAATCACCAAGGGCCAAGTCTAATCACACCTACATAATCGAGAAAGCTAAGTTCTTCATCGATCCTGCTCACTTATGCATTTAAGAATCAAGAAATTATAAACAATATGCGGTAAGGTCCATAGAAAAGTAACAAATGACTAAGACGAAAGAGGTACTTGTGAGAGTCCTGTGAATCACATCACATCCACATTGTATATTGTGTATACCTCAGGTGAGCTGGGATTATAAACCACTGTCAACAAAATTTTCTTTAGTTCAAGTATTTAATATCAAAGTTTACAGTTAATTAAATGAATAAGATAGTAGATTTTTCTGACCTGGCTCATTTCCGTTGATCTTCATTTTTGAAGTTAACTTCCTAGCTAAGATGATGTGATGAGACCATCCAATCAATACAAGTTACCACCTATTCCTTAGTGAAGTTATGTTTTACAAATGTGTAAAATCGGAAGCAGAAGCACATAAATAAAAAGCCATTTTACTAAAACACATAATCTAAATAATAGACCAGGAGATGTCCTGTAAAAGATCTCCATGAGAATTATAGGGAATAAAAAAACAGGATGGATATTGACACCAATAAAGATCGTTGCAGTATGCCAGTATCTTAATCTTTCATAAGACGCCATATAATAATTGAGAGCACCACTATCCTTCCTTGTAAAGACAAGGACACCACTTAGATTGTTCAGACAAGTAACGTTCATAAAAGTAACGAACACGAGTAAAAAAAAAAAAACCATGAATATATAGTACCCTGATAACGAGGCCTCATCAACCTTGCTGCTTTCACCTGAATCATTCACCTTCACAATCAAAAAAAAAAAAAAAACTCTTTACTTTTTCCAAGAGTTCCACTAACATTTTTTTTTTGTCATCTAATTTTTATTGATAATTTTGGATTTTACAAACGCCCAAACAAGGGAAACAAAAACCCAAACAAGGGAAACAAAAACCCAAACAAGGGAAACATAGCCGGAGGAAAAAGTTGATATCCCCGAAAACATAGCCGGAGGAAAACAAGATTTCCCGGAGACAAGCCCTATAAAAGGGAAACAAAGACACTAAAACGACAGTGCAGAACCTTTAAAAACATAAACTTAGAAAATCCAAGCCACCACTAATCAAAAATAAAAAGACTTGAATCAGAACACCGGCCAAACAATAAACCAACTAATCTTCTTCAAATGAGGAGGACAAATGAGAAAGACTTGTTGAAGATGCCTTCTCCAAACCAACAACAATCAACTTCCTCCCAAACCAAGAGGATAACACCTCTTCCCAGTAAACCTCAAATCTACGCAAAAGGAAACTACACCCTAAACATAAGAACAAACAAAACAAAAGAGGCACAACGTCGGGGCAAGAGAGCCACCGGACGTTGGCCCTAGCAAGGGCGGCTGAACTTTCTTTTTTTCTCAAGGAGAGAGAACAGAGAAAATTAGGGGGAACGATGATTCTCTCTAAACTCCACTTACATAAATGATGAGATAATGAGATATGTTTTATATAAAAAAACAGATATGAGATTTCTTACAGGGACACATGTAATCAACTGAAACTATCTCTGACAGATTCAATATAATCAACTGTAATCAACTGTAAGCAATTGATTACACGGGCCTCCTCAAGGACTTCACGGCATCGCTGACTGGATTGGTCACCGATCTAGCTCCGGACAAGCAGGCACTCAGGTCATTGCAAAGCTAGTGTTCCAGACGGTTATGTACTCGATTTGGAAAGAGCGCAACGCCTGGATTTTTTCCGTGGAATCTTGTCATGGCTTGGTCATTCATGCGGCGGTCGACAGGATGATAAGGGATCGGCTCCTCTCTTTTCCAGCCAGGAGCCTCTCTTATCCTTCTTTGCTCGAGCTATATTTTAGCTTCCTTGTTCTCTAATATGTTTCCTCTGTTCTCTTGTTCTTTTCTTCTTCTAATAAGTGGTCTCTCCACAACTATGTAAAATTTTAAAAGCTGGTATGAAATCTTAACATTTTCGACAAAAAAAAAAAAAAAACTGTAATCAACAGAGAGGGCACAAGTTCATTATTGTAGACCAATTATCAATTCATTTAAAGAAAAACCTGAAATTTATCTGACATAGACACAAATCACCAGTCTGATCCTTGAAGCAAAAATTGTTACCCAATATACTCTCTTTAATAGTAGTTACAGAAATTGAGTTATCGTAATATACTATCAATGCTCACTTTTTTTATAATACAATTTCGTTTAATTTATATTATATATCGATAAATATCAGATTAAATTTTAAGTATTTTTTATCAAACTATGTAAATTTGTAAATAAGAAATATAGAGAGAAATGCTTCGTTATCGTAGTGATAGCTAAGAAAAAATAAATATTTAAACTGATTACAAAAAAACATGTAACGAATATGAATAATAATTTGTATATTTTTATGTAATTTACTCTTTTCTAGTTCTTATGTATTTTGGGGTTTTTTTTAAGAATTAAAGCTAGTCTCTTATTTATTTTTAATTTATAAGAATAACGCTTTTCTGACTTAATAATTTTATCATAGTTTCATATAAAATCATCAAAACATTATTACAAAATCATAAGTAACAATTTTTTTGGATTTTGTTTTCTAGAATTAAAGTATTATCTTTTTTATTTTAAATTTACTAATTTTTATTTTGTCACAAAACAATAATACCAACATCACTATCTATGACCAAAACAAAAAGATCACTAATACAGTAACTAATTCTAATGTCGTACTTACAAAATATTTATAACTATGAGTGACTTACATTTTTAGTCACAAATTCGTATTATTTTGTTATTATATGAGGTCGCAAATTCGTAACGATATTTGTGACCAGGACCGGTCCTGACCTAAAGTCCATGAAGCAAGGACGCAAATTTATATAATAAATTTAAGGACAGTAGTTTTAACAAATTTTCCTTTAGTGCAGTGGCTTATACTATTTCGAGCTCTACATCTGCATATTTTTTTCCTGTTTTTTTACTTGCTTTCTTTTTTTTTAAAATTGATAGGCATTATTTTGGAGTTGGGTTTTAGGCGCAAAGGGAGGTCGAGTCAGCCCTGTTTGTCACTATATATTTTGTAACAATTAGATATGAATAGTGACAGAAAATTGTTACCTTCAATTTAGTAACAATTTTATGACGGAAATAGTAACGTTTTTATGACTAAAAAATTTCGTCATATTTTCATATAAAAATCATCATAAAATTGTTACATAACAATTAGTCATAATTTTTCTGTAACAATATTTGTTTTTTTTTTAGTGGTACCAATCTAGATAAAAAACGAATCAGAATTTCATAGATTTTATAGCCGGTCCGTCTGATTCCCAGAAGGAGAAATGGGAACGAGGTCTCACAAAACAAGCACCAACAAAAAAATCGTTAAATATGAGAGATTTGTATACATTTACAAAAAGACGATGGTTTTTCTCCCTTCTCTCTCTCAAACCTTTCAGACAAAAATCCATTGTTTGTTTATATCTTTCTATCTCTCGATAATGTTTGGTTAATAAATTCCTTTTATTGGAATTTCTTTTTTTTTGTAAGTTTGTTTTTTTTTGTCTTCCCCTTCTGCGGGATTTCTGTTCTATCAATTTCTGGGAGTTTTGACGGTGCTTTGTCTTCTAGATGCTTGCTCCTTCTACGTGATTATAATTCCTCGCTCTCCCATCGTGGCTCTCCCTATGAGGATTGTATTGAGCTTTGGTCTTTCATGGCAAATAGAACGAGATGAAACGGTGGCTTAGAGCAAGTATGAAGAATTGGAGTTTTCTTCGTGTTCTCATGGTTCTCTGAAGAATATTTCATCTCTAATCGGCTGAGGTCAAATCTCTGGTGGTCAAGTTTCAAGTTCATCCTTTTTTTCAGTGAATATTTATAAAAAAAAATTGGTACAATAAAAAAAAATTGGTAAAATCGAGGTTTCATTAAAGGATTTGAAGAACCTAGCTGGCTTGCGATGGTCTTCTCTGGTGAAGAAACTTGTGTCGGGAACAAAAACGTCGATTGCTTTCAAAGCTACACGTTGCACTACACGTGTGGCTTTAGTTTGTTTATCCATATTTGATGTTTTGCATGTAATGGGCTTATTTGGGCATTTGTTATTGTACTTCTGTTATGCGTGGTTGGGTTTTAATGAAAAGTTAGTTGAAAAAAAAAATGTGAGAGACTTGTTTGCGAGACCATGATGTTGATACTTGATACTACAAAAATATTGAGTATTCATAGCAGAAGAAGATAGCATTTAAAGTGTTTATGCTATGTTTGATTTAGCCATGATTTTTATGTAGCGTTTGTTTATTAGTAAACGCTATCAATGTGTTGCCCAAACAAAAAAATTGTTAAACGGTAATTTAATTGGCTCTAATTAATTTTGCGCATGTTATATAAGACCATAAAGATAATTAAATTGCTATGCAAATGTCGAGCGGGTGATAAATTTTTAATTGCACGCCTTTGGGAAAAAATAATAGAAAAAAAAAAATTTGTAGCTCCCAAATTTCTCCAAGGCAAAATAAGATCTGCCTTAACTTTCTCACAGAGACATCATTGCATGTCGTTTTCCAGCTCGAAATCTCAATTTCCTTATTGAATTCACACTCCCACTTTTCCTCTCGAATTCTCCTCCTAATCTGATGCTCTGATACTCTAGCAGCTGCTGAGGAAATCTCATTTTCGTTGCTGAGGGATTCTCGTCAATTTCTCAAGAACGAAGCTGACATTGGAAGGTTAGATGTTTGGTAATCGATATGCATATATATGGAATTAAGGTATTTACATGTTTGGTATAATATCGATTTTTTTTTTTATTTTGCTGTTTTGCAGGCAGGTTTCAGGGTTCGATTCAGTCAAAGGTATGTGAAATCTATAGGGTCTTAAAATTTGTGTTTTTGATCTATTGTTTCTCTAAGTGTAATCGATTTAGGGTTAATTGCATCTCCAAGTTTAAGCGATTTATGGTTACATTAAGCAACTATTTTTTCTAAGTATAATCGATGCTTCCAATTTTGCAGAGAGCTTTGGGTTTCTGTAATAGACGCAAGTTTTATGCTTCCAAAGTTCGCAATCAGCAAAGGAGTGCACAAATTTTGTTTGTGAATAATTAGTTTTCAGAGTTATTGGGAATTCATGGGAATCCATCCAAAGTCCCTCGGAAGATTAGACCAATATGATCTAGTATATAAGTAATGTCCAACTTCAATTAGTATGAGGCCTTTTGGGAAGGATCCTAAAACTAAATCCGTGCGGGCTTTGCCAGTTAGGCCCAAAGCGGACAATATCATACTAATTGGGGGAGTTGGATATGGGCTTAGAAAAGCCCAATACATTCATGTGGGTTTTATGCCTAAGTGTCAAGAAGACTCTAACCCAACAAGAAGGTTTCGATTGGCTGTTTAAAGAGAAGTCACGCAGAGCTCACGTGATCTTCTTATACAACTCACGAGGACAAAGGAGTAATTAACCTCTGTCTAAAGTGGAGTGGTGTTTGTCTCCTTCCTCTGTCGAAGAAACAGAGTATGGAGGTTAGAGGTAGAATCAGCAGAGCCGTTTTGTCGGCACCATGCGTACAAGGCTATATAAAAGGTGTAGTAGACTGAAACATTAGGGTTAAGAGTGGTTGACAAGGAGAGAGGCAAGTGTGAGTTTACACAGAGAGTCTCTAAAGGTTATTTGTAACCAAGAATACCATATCTAGTGGATTTCCGAGGAAAAGTCTCGGCCAGACGTAGCAATTCCATTCTGGATCGTGAACTGGATAATTTCGTTTGTGTCATTTACTTTATGCTAAACACACGTGTGATCGATCGAACCTAGATAAAGAGAGTTAGTGAGGAGATTCCGCGTAAAACATAAACAATGTTCAGACTTATAACACCAACAAATTGATATCAGAGCCAGGTTGGAGTTTTCATGGTCGAAAGAAAGGTTGAATTTTTATAAAGTTTGAAGCTTTTGTAACAAGACTGGTCAGAACTTTATAAAGGTTGAAGCTTTGGTGAAAAAGTTCTGAACTTTCTTACTAACAATGACTTCTGGGAGATCGGAGGTCGAAAAGTTCGATGGAGAAGGAGACTATATCCTTTGGAAGGAAGAGCTATTAGCTCACCTGGAGCTGTTGGGTCTACTGGAAGGACTTGACGAAGAAGAAGCATCAGAGGGTGGAAAGACACCAAGCGAAGGTGAAGTCACGCCTGATGCAGCTCCTTCACCAGCCAAACCAGAAGACAAAGAGTTAAGGGAGAAGAGAGGGAAGGCCAGGTCAACAGTTATTCTGAGTCTTGGAGATCATGTCTTAAGAAAGGTCATCAAGGAAAAGACAGCTGCAGGTATGATAAAGATCCTTGACCAGTTATTCTTGGCCAGATCTCTTCCCAACCGTATATACTTAAAGCAAAGATTGTACGGGTACAAGATGAGTGAGAGCATGACAGTAGAGAAAAATGTAAATGACTTCTTCAAACTCATATCCGATTTGGAGAATGTCAAGGTTACGGTTCCAGAGGAGGACCAAGCTATTGTCTTGCTGATGTCTCTACCAAAGCAGTTTGATCAGCTTAAGGAAACTCTAAAGTACTGCAAAACTACCTTAGCTGTGGAAGAGATCACAAGTGCGATCAGATCCAAGACGTTAGAGCTAGGAGCTAATGGGAAAACGACTAAGAATAGCTTGGATGCTCTATTTGTTCAAGAAAGGGGAAGATCAGAGAAGAGAGATAAGGGTAACAAGAGGAACAAGAGTAAGAGCAGATCAAAGTCAAGAGAAAAGAAGGTATGTTGGATTTGCGGGAAAGAAGGACATTACAAGAAGCAATGTAATGTCTGGAAGGAGAGGAACAAGAAGGGTAACAGCTCGGAGAAGGGGGAGTCATCAAATGTCATAGGACAAATAGCAGATGTAGCAGCATTGAACGTCACAGACGAATCAAATGCAGTCAATAATGACAACGATGATGAGTAGATAATGGACACAGGGTGTTCATTTCACATGACACCAAGAAAAGACTGGTTTTTTGAGCTTGACGAGACAAAGACTGGTCGCGTGAAGATGGCTAATCAAACATACTCTGAGATTAAAGGCATTGGGAGTATAAGGATACAGAACGATGATCACTCAACAGTCCTGCTCACAAACGTAAGATTTGTCCCAAGAATGTCCAAGAATCTGATTTCTATGGGAACATTAGAAGATCAGGGATGTTGGTTCCAGTCAAAGAATGGACTTCTTAAGGTTATTAAAGGCTGCTTGACTCTTCTTAAGGGAAAGAAAATGGGTACATTGTATCTACTGCAAGGAACAGCATTGATGGGTAATGTGAACACTGCAACAAGTCCACAAGACGAAGCTAAGATATGGCACAGCAGATTATGCCATATAAGTCAGAAGAACACAGAGCTATTGGTTAAAAAGGGATATCTTCAGGCTGAGAAAGTAAATGGCATCGAGTTTTGTGAGGACTGTGTCTATGGCAAGACACACAGGGTCAGATTTGGATCAGCAAAACATGTTACAAGGGAAAAGCTTGAGTATATTCACTCTGACTTATGGGGATCACCACACGTACCGAGCTCTATAGGCAATCACCAATACTTCATCACGTTTATAGACGACTATTCAAGGAAAGTATGGATATACTTCCTCAAAAGAAAAGACGAAGCATTCAAGGCTTTTGTTGAGTGGAAGAAGATGGTTGAAACCCAATCAAATAAGAAGGTGAAGAAACTCAGAACAGATAACGGTTTAGAGTTCTGCAATCAGGAGTTCGACGAGTTCTATAAAGAGGAAGGCATAGTTAGGCACAGAACCTGCGCTTACACGCCACAACAAAACGGAATAGCAGAACGGATGAACAGAACAATTATGGATAAAGTGCGAAGCATGCTAAGTGAATCAGGGTTAGACAAGATGTTATGGGCAGAAGCAGCATCAACAGCTGTGTTTGTCATCAACAGGTCTCCGGCATCAGCAATTGAGTTTGAGATACCAGAGAAACTTTGGACAGGAGTTCTACCGGATCTAAGTTCACTAAGAAGTTTTGGCTGCATCGCTTATGTTCATTCTGACCAAGGGAAACTGAATCCGAGAGCCAAGAAAGGGGTATTCATTGGATACACACCAAGTGTTAAGGGCTACAGAGTTTGGCTGTTAGAGGACTGAAAGGTCGTCATCAGTAGAGATGTTGTGTTTAATGAAAAAATGATGTTCAAAGATTCAGGGCAAAACAAAGAAGTAGAAGCATCACAAGATGAGGTAGAAGTCACGATAGTTGAGACTTTTGCTCACACTGAAAAGGGGAAGGAATCAGTTCAAGGTGGAACTGATCATGAAGAGAATCAAGAACAGGATTCATCTCCATGGAATCAAACAGGGGAGGAGGACCTTGAGACTGATTCTGAACACGAGTATATCCCACCAAGTCTTGCAGATTACCAACTGGCAAGAGACAGAGAAAGAAGACAACCACGGCCACCAAGAAGATTTGATGAACTTGGGGACTCGGGGTTTGCTTACAACCTAACTGAAGATGGGGGTTTTCTTGAACCTATGAGTTATCAAGAAGCAATGTCAGATGCAGATAGTGAGCTATGGAAAGAAGCAGCAGATGAAGAGATTGATTCACTAAATAAGAACCACACCTGGGATCTAGCTGATAGACCTGAGAAGCAGAGAATAATCGGTTGTAAATGGGTATTCAAAAGAAAGCTTGGGATTCCAGGGGTTGAAAAACCGAGATTCAAAGCTAGACTTGTCGCTAAGGGTTATTCTCAAAGGGAGGGAATAGATTTTCAAGAGATCTTCTCACCGGTTGTCAAGCATGTTTCAATCCGACTTATGCTATCTGCAGTCGCTCATTTTGACTTGGAACTGGAACAACTCGATGTAAAAACAGCATTTCTACATGGTACTCTAGATAAAGTTATTTACATGAGCCAACCAGAAGGATATGTAGACAAGAGATCACCTGAGAAAGTCTGTCTACTAAGGAGATCTCTGTACGGTTTAAGACAATCCCCAAGACAGTGGAATCAAAGGTTTGATTCGTTCATGAGAAACACAGGGTACTCAAGAAGTTTGCAAAACAATTGTGTATACTTCAAGCAGACTGAAGAAGAAGAGAAGACATTCTTACTCTTATACGTCGATGATATGCTGATTATATCCAAGAACAAAGAGATAGTCAAGAGGCTGAAAGAAAGTCTGAGTGCCGAGTTCGAGATGAAAGATTTAGGACCTGCAAGAAGAATTCTGGGAATGGAGATAACAAGAGACAGAGACAGAAATATTTTAGAGTTATCTCAAGAAGGGTATTTGAGGAAGGTACTGAAGACATTCAGAATGGAAGATTGCAAGCCGGTTAAGACACCACTGGGACCGCATATGAAGCTTAAGGCAGCAACTGAAGAGGAAAAGGAGAAGTATGCAGAACAAATGAAGTCAATACCTTATGCTAACGCTGTTGGGAGTATAATGTATTCGATGATTGGATCAAGACCTGACCTCGCTTATCCAGTTGGTGTCATAAGCAGGTTCATGAGCAAACCTTTGATGGATCATTGGCAAGCGGTTAAGTGGGTGTTGCGTTACATAAAAGGATCAATCTGTTCAAGGTTACAGTACAAAAGGGAAGGTGAATTTGTGGTTACATGGTACTGTGATTCAGATTACGCCTCAGACCTTGACAGGAGGAGATCAATCTCTGGTTAAACATTCACTGTAGGAGGTAAAGTAGTCAGTTGGAGATCTTGTCTACAAGGAGTCGTTGCTCTATCTACTACAGAAGCTGAATATATAAGTTTGACAGAGGCAGCAAAGGAAGCCGTTTGGCTAAAGGAATTGTATCTATCAATTGGAGTAAGCATGAGGATATAAGGACTAATAAGCCATCTCATGGTCCAGGCTATGACTTTGAGGCTTATGAACAGATTTCTTTGATGGTGAAGGCAATTCACAGCCTAATAGCCACAATGCATATCAGACAGATAATGTTGATAATAAAGAAGAATATGAGTTTAGGAAGAAGTTACAAAGTGCTGAAACTCCACTATATTCTAGTTGTTCCAACTACACCAAAGTTTCTGCAATTATAGGGTTTTACTGCATTAAAGTGAAGAGTGGGATGTCCGAAAACTATTTTGATTAGCTTTTGAAGATATCTCATGACATGCTTCCTAGAGATAATGTTCTCTCGAGATCGACAGATGAGATGAAAAAATTCCTCAAAATGTT